TTACAAAAGTTTTATATTACGGTTATATACATAATGACAATTTTGAATAAAAAATGTGAAAAGATTTTGTGAAAATGCAAATTTAATATCATCTATCTTTACATTTTTTTTTTTTAGAAATCTGTTAAAACTTGTTTTAAATTAAACACTGAAGCCTACATGCAAATTACAAACTGGCCAGCACATTCAACTTTCCTCAGTCAGAATTGACGGGACTTTTTTGTGGCCAACACCAATAACAATGTCAACAACAACAAAAAACATCAGCCGATACCGTTATTGATAAATTGCATAGAGTAATATATAGTACTAGCTATTTTTCTCCTTTAAATTAGTTTTACTAAACACGGATTTTACTGACACATGGATTGCATCCATTTAACATTCATCTTACACATGTAAAGATATAAAAAAATACAATGTGACAATCTTTTAATGTGATTTTTGCTACTTAGTATTTCAACAACAGTAACTTTTCAGGGTTTTCCAGGTTTCTCCTCCTAAAATGTAAGACTTTTAAAGACCATTATAAATGGATTTTCAGACTTATACAGACCTATAGGTTAAGGATTTTTATTTTATTCAACATAACTTTTCTGTTAAAAAAAATGACATCTGGCTTTTTCATATATGACCAATAAATGCATGGAGAGCTTTTAAACAAATGTAATTGTATGCAAGATAACTTAACCACATAGGTAATTAGAGTTGTAAATATATATATATATATATATATATATATATATATATATATATATATATATATATATATATATATATATATATATATATATATATATATATATTAGTTGTTATTTGTTTTATTGAGATGGATTGTTGGTGATTGGACGGATGTTGTCCCAACTAGGTAGCTTTACATGGACATAGAAAAATGAAGACCCATTTATAGTGATTTAAGACCTCAAACACAATATTTCATTCATTCATTCATTCATTTTCTTTTCGGCTTGATCCTTTTACTAATCAGGGGTCGACACAGCGGAATGAACCGCCAACTTATCCAGCATATTGTCACCTTGGAATTATATGGATCTATCTGTGTTCTGAATGATTTACAGGTATTGAGCCTCAACGTGTTTGCATTCCATAAAGCAACAGTATGTGTGTAACATTTGTACAGTATTTTAAACAAAAAGTCTTACAATTTATAAAAAAACACCTCATAATGTAAATAAGTTGTCATTTAATAAGAATATGTGAGTAACTCAATTTTGACAAAAATGTCAGATAGAACCTTATAATTCTAAGGTGACAATATGTTTTATGCAGCGGATGCCCGTCCAGCTGCAACCCATTCCTGGGAAACACCCATACACTCTCATTCTCTCTCTCTCTCACACACACACACACACACACACACACACACACACTGTGGACAATTTAGCTTACCCAATTCACCTATACTGCATGTCTTTGGACTTGTGGGGGAGCACCCAGCGGAAACCCCCGCGAACACTGGGAGAACATGCAAACTCCACACAGAAATGCCAACTGACCCAGCCGGAGCTCGAAACAGCGACCTTCTTGCTGTGAGGCCCAATATTTTCATATATTTTAAACTTTAGTATTATGGTCCCAGACATCATTTGGTTAATATGCAAATACACAAAGAAAACACGGTCAAAAACCGTTTCCCTGCCACTCCTGCCAGCAGATCCTCCATCACATGTGTGCTCTTACGTGAGCAGGTGAACTGAAGTAAAAATTTAGGTAGAGCTAATCCATGTCACCAAACCACTTAATGCATGACAAAAAATAATACAGCAAAATATTATGACTCTTAATTACTCAATAATTATACAACAAATAAAGTATAAAATTATCTAAATATCGCAAATGGCTCCAACAAGCATATTTTATAGTATATTTAGTATATTTTAATTTTCAGCATATTTTAATTTTGAACTTTTTTAAGACCCAGCGGACACTCTGCTCTTATTTGACATATTTATTTATTAAACCTAACACATAAAGCCAGTTCTGTTGCTATATTATAAATCTATTCAATTATAAATCTTGCTGCTCCAGAAAAATACTGACGAAAGTGCAGCCGTTTTCTTTTTACTTTTTATTATTGTCAGAGACGTACTGGCCCAAACAAAATTAGCCCAAACTAATTTTTTTCAGGGTTTTCTGCCTGAAGCACATTTGACATATTAGACACATGGTGTCTGATATTTTATACATATTATATATATTTTTTCTCTGGAAAAAATCATTGCAATTTATTATTAATAATAAACCACCTGATCAGCCTTTTTCATATTACTCCCAATTAATCCAATATCAGCAGCAAATACATCAGTGCATCCCTATGAGAAATATTACAGTCTAATATCGATCATGCAATATATTCCACACATTCTTCCACATCAACAGGTTACGCGTGACCACAGCCATGAGACAAAGCAGTGATTTTTCTAAATATACCTTTACTTTAAAGCCTGTGCCACATTCACTATCAAAGAGCAGATTGTCTCTCGTTGACCTGGCAGAGCTGTGATGTAGGGCTTTGAAGTGTCTGCCTGGAGCAGGTGCAGGACACATTCACTATCAGCCTGTGACTTTAGCATGCCACTGCTGGTATTTAGACACTCCATGACTAATGCAGTAAGAACCATCTCAGGAGCTCGCTAAACTCACCGATGAGCTCAGCTATTTTGCAAATGAGTTTCTTAGCATTTGTAGCTTGTTTAACCTGGGGTGCACTTTAATATTTCATTTTAAAAAACTCATTTATTTGTATTTGACATGATGACAGTACATAAAGTAATCAGAATTATTGCCCCCCCTGAATTATTAGCCCCCTTAACTAGGCAGGTTAGGGTAATTAGGTAAGTTATAATATAATAAGTGTATAATAAGTGTAATAATATAAGTGTATAATGATGGTTTGTTCTGTAGACTATCAAAACATATATAGCTTAAAGGGGCAAACAATATTGACCTTAAAATGTTTTTAAAAAAAGCAAAAACCTTTTATTCTACCCAAAATAAAACAAATAAGACTTTCTCCAGAAGAAGAAATATTATCAGACATACTGAGAAAATTCCCTTGCTCTCTTAAACATCATTTAGGAAATATTTAAAAAAGAAAAGAAATCAAAGGGGGGCTAATAATTCTGACTGCAACTCTATTTATTTTTCTAGTAATTTTGCAATATACTAGTATTTAGCTTAAAGTGTGATTTAAAATAAACTTAACTAGGATAATTAGGTTAACTAGGCAAGTTTGGTTAATTAGGAAAGTCATTGGACAACAGCGTTTTTTTCTTTAACCATTTGAAATAAAAATATTTCTTAAGGAGACTAATATTCATTTAATTTAGATTTTATAACAATGTATTTCAGCAATATTAAAAGAAATGAGACTTTATGCAGATTTAAAATATAATAGAAATTTTGAAAATATAAATCCACTCACCAGCCACTTTATTAGGTACACCTTACTAGTGCCGGGTTGGACCCCCTCAGAGGTACAAGGTACTGAAAATATTCCTCTAAGATTTTGGTCCATATTGACATGATAGCACCATACATTTGCTGCAGACTTGTCGGCTGCACATCCATGATGCGAATCTCCCATTCCACCACATCCCAAAGTACAGTTAGTACAGTGAACTTATTGTCATGTTCAAGAAACCAGTCTAAGATGATTCAAACTTAATGACATGGCGCGTTATCCTGCTAGAAGTAGCCATCAGAAGATGGTTACACTTTGGTCATAAAAAAATGGACGTGGTCAGCAACATTACTCAGGTAGGTTGTAGCGTTGACACAATGCTCAATTGGTACTAAAGGGCCCAAAGTGTGCCAAGAAAATATCCCCCACACCATTACACCACCACCAGCAACCTGAACTTTTGATACAAGGCAGGATGGATCCATGCTTTCATGTTGTTGACCCAAATTCTCACCCTACCATCCGTTGCATGTTGCAGCAACAAACGTTGAATGTTGCAGCAAAAATCGATATTTATCAGACAAGGCAACGTTTTTCAATCTTCTATTGTCCAATTTTAATGAACTTGTGCGAATTGTAGCCTCAGTTTCCTGTTCTTAGCTGACTGGAGTGACACCAGGTGTGGTCCTCTGCTGCTGTAGCCTATCCACCTCAAGGTTGGACGTGTTGTGCGTTCAGAGATGCTCTTCTGCATACCTTGATAGTAATGAGTGGTTATTTGAGTAACTATTGCCTTTCTATCAACTTGAACCAGTCTGGTGATTCTCCTCTGACCCTGGCATCAGCAAGGCATTTGCGCCCACAGAACTGCCGCTCACTGGATATATATATATATATTTTTTAAACCATTCTCTGTAAACCCTAGAGATGGTTGTGCGTGAAAATTCCAGTAGATCAGCAGTTTCTGATATACTCAGACCAGCTGTCTGGCACCAACAACCATGCCACGTCACTTAAATCACTTTTCTTCCTCATTCTGATGCTCGATTTAAACTGCAGCAGATTGTCTTGACCATGTCTACATGCCTAAATGCATTGAGTTGCTCCCATGTGATTGGCTGATTAGAAATTTGCGTTAACGAGCAGTTGGACAGGTGTACCTAATAAAGTGGCCAGTGAGTGTATTTTAAATCTCTGTTTTCTGTTAAAAAGAATTCATTTCACTGAAGGGCTAATAATTTGATCTTCAACTCTAATACTGCAGACATCCAAAACAGTTTGTGTTTATTGTGCATTAAAACTTGCTTGGCAATTTGATCTTGATGTAAACCGCTGGTTTATTGCTAACAGCATCATTCCACAGGGGTTTCATTCTGCATAGCGTCAAGCTTTTCTTTTCTGTTTCTTTCTCCCTGACACACTCACATATATACGGCAACATTATATCTGCACAGTAATGAATGCGTTTTCTCATTGCCTGTCATGGCTGGCTCACTCAGCATTGCAGCCAGATGGTCTGAGGTACAGCTGAAGTGTCTGCAGTGTGCGATTATGGGACTTACCTAAAGTAAAGCTGTTTTTGAAAGTGCTACTGGCTGTGAAATAAGGAACAAAAGAGGGAAGATGAGTTAAAAGGAACCTGGTATGGCTTAATGGACAATGCATTAAACATTACAGAAATATCAATATATAGTGAAATCCCACATTTTAAACAGTAACAGAGTTGACAATAATGGAGGTGACAGTATTTTGTGCTTTAGCTGAAGATGTCTGTACATTACTGGATGTGTGTGTGTGTGTGTCTTGGTGGTTTATGAGGAAATGTGTGTAATGAAATGGTTATGAGCTTGGTGTTAAAATGTTGAAGTGGTTTATGTGGACATGTCTTTGTGTCCTGTGTAATTCATAACAACTAAAAATCATACTTTAAACAGAGTTCAAACTCGTACTTAATGTTTGTGTCTGGGTGTACCTGAAGGACGTGGCAGGGCTGGGAAAGAGGAGGGATGATTCTGGGGTCCAATTCCTGAAGACATAACTCCTGGTCTCTGTCTCTCCACACCACTTAACAATGTGTCTGTTAAACAGAGAAAGGAGAATGGACAGAAAGAATAGAAGAATGAAACATTTATATTAAAATGAGAGACCAAACCAAAGTCATATGCTGACTCACAATATTGTAAATAAGTTTCAGCGATCAGGAGTCAAGGAGGACAAAAGCAAAGTTAATAATGATAATATATTATATTTACATTTTCTCACTAAGCAATTTATTATCTCATTTACAAATGAGGATAAAAGAAGCACTTCAGATCGTCATAGTTTTGAAATTGATTTTTAACTTCTTTTATTTTAAGTTGATTGAACATAAAATAATTAAGTTGTCCCAACAAATGTTTAACAATTGTGTTGTTTTTGCTCATTTTAAATACATAGTTTGAACAAGCAACAAATTAAATTTTTTTGAGTGTTTATAAATGCTATGACTAGTCTGTTGTTTGTTTATTTTTTAATTTAACAATAGAAAATCTCATCTAAAATAAATAAATAAATAGTTAGAATTGTCATAGCATTTACAATTTTATTTTACTTGACATTTTTTCTTCTCCGAGCATAACTGTGTGTTCACACCGAAAGCGGTGAGAGCGTCAAAGCAGCGGCGCGGCACGTCTTTGCCGGTGTGGGCGTAAAGGAAAAGTTGAATTCAAGTCAACTTTATGTTAATGAGTAGGGCCAGACAGAATCTGCGGACAAGTTTTTCTATTTCTGTGGAGAATTTTGTAAAAAATCTGCGAATTTATGCGGAAAGATTTTTTATGAAGTAAAAATAATACATTTCTTACTTTTATTTAATGTTTACAATGCAAATCCAATTAGATCCACATATTTGGTAAACAAAGCAAGCCTATCATATAATATATCTACAAAGAGACTACTTTAATTACTTTAATCTACTAAATATTACTTTACAAACTGTATTGTGCATAAATCACATGAACATTGTAATATTACTATTATTATATTATAATAATATTAGTGAAATGATATTTTAAAACTGGAAATATATAAATTTACACACATTAACACAAGTAAATACATGGACTCAAGTATGGGCTAAAAATTTGCGGAAAACCCCTGGTTTCTGCGCTCACAGGTTCCGTGTGGGCCAAGTAATGAGCTATGATGCAGTATGGCGGCAATCAATCAAGTCCACCGACAACAATGTTTGGAAAATTTTACATAAATCAAAATATTTGAAGGTGAAACCAATGTTTTGTGCTTTTTATAATGAGATTCTTTCATATATAAAACCCCTTAAGATAATGAAATCAAAAAGTGCAATTAAACTTTTGTCTTTGGTTAAAAAAGTATAAATTACAGGAAAACCCCCAGTCCTTTATTTATTTATTTATTGGTTTGTTTGTTTATTTATTATATTTAGATATGTATTATTTTACTTATAATTATTTTATATAACATATTATGTAGGTAATTTGTTCTTTAGTTGCACCTGTTTCCTTTTTTGTTTTGTAAATGTGTACTGATAATGGCAAAAAATAAATAAATAAATAAAATAAAAAAATTTAAATGTAGAAGTCTACTGCTTGGGAGGAGTCCAGAGAACACAGTCCTGTGAACTTTGGGTCTGACCACACTCGTTCCCAAGTGTTTGATCATAGGGGTTTGATTATTGCGGATTTCCAATTATTTATGATGTTTTCTCACAGGGACATACATTAAAAATTTACTGGCGAGTTGATTTGCATTATTTTTTTGTTATATATTTTTTCTATTTCAAAAAAGCAGGAATCTCATGGCAACCATAATGTCAATAAAGTATTGCTGCTTCAGAATATTTCAGACATATGAACATATTGGATAAGTGAAGCAAAGCCACACACCACACGCAACAACTTGATCTTCCCTAGTTGAATAAATTTGATAAAAACTGTGCAACATTTTTACACTAGAAAACATGTTTTATGCATTTTATATGTTTTTATGTGACTGATATTCTGCAACGGTCCATTTAAATACGGGAACAATGTGGGGAATTTTGATGCGTTGTCGCCAGGGCGGCCAGAGCAAACTTTGACACTTTCACCTCTTTCGGTGTGGACGCAGAGTAAGGAGAAGAGAGAGTATGTCCTAAAGGTGGTTTGTCAAGCCCACTCACCTGCATGAAGCAAACTGATAAATTCAAGGTGATAATAATTTGTCACATTTAGATAGCGCTTTACAGATTTGCTTGGGATCTGTTTATCCACCACCAGTGTCCAGCATCCACCTAACGACAGTCATTTTTGTGCCAAGCTGCACAACACACACTGATATGCACATAGCAATATCCATCCTGAAACAATAAGTTGTGAGTCCCTGTCACTATACTGGGGCACTAGGACCAACATACAGTAGATGCAGGCCTCTTTAACTCCTCTTCCAGCAGCAACCTAGTTTTTCAACCCAGGCTCATTCTGAAAACATACCTATATACATTTCTGGAGAATATCAAATACTTCCCAGGAGCTACATTTTTTGCAGTTTTGCACTTTTCCAGGAGAGGCTGCTGTGTATGCTTTTTAAGCTTTTTAATTCAAATTTCTCTCGCGAGTGCCATTCGTGCCTGCTGTTCTCTCCAAAATCCACCAGATGTCACTGTCAACTGAATGTTTGACTGATTAAATGACTAAATGACTGACTAAGTGACCAATCGACTGACCCACCCTCCCCCTTCCCTAAACCCAACTAATAGTATTTTAAAAAGCACTGATTGACCCGCCCACCCAATTCCCTAAACCCAACCGACAGTGTTTTCGAAAGCAATCCAGAAAAAGAAATGCCCCCATCTGATTTTTACCACGTTTTACCACATTCTCACCCTGTTATGTACATATTTTATTACCCTGTTTTTGTTTAAGCCGCTTTCTGGAAAAAAAAACAGGCGTTCTTAACCAGACTCGAACCCAGTCGTCGTGGTCTTCTACTCTTTGAGTCTTAAGTCTGACAACATACATGGTGAAATAACTGGACAAACTGGAAACAGCCGGAAAACCGTCCATACGGAGGTAAGAATACGGTCAGAAAAAGAAACACGAAAAGAAACGATATCATACCACCCCATATCGTTCATTAAAACAAAATGCAGCCATACATACTTCTAGCTACATAGCTCACAATCTCCAGAAATGTATATAGGGCTACGTTTTCAGAATGAGCCTATGCTGTAGTTTTCCTATGTGTTCTCCCATCCAGGTAAAAACCAGGCACAATCATGCATAGCTTCAGTGGGTGACCATGTGAAAGCTGCAGAGCACTGGCTGCTGACAAGCAAGATAGTAGCAGAAGATGAGACAGGGAAAGAAGATGACAAACATATTTGATGGCTGTACCTTTAATAGGATGGTCTCTGAAGCTCTGTGAGCGAGTTGGTCTGGCAGTGAACACCTCAGTACGGCAATCAGCCGGAGAGACAGCAGGAGCTCTGTCCCATATTGACAACTGGGACTGGGACTAGGGGAATACACACACACACACACACATTAGAAATCAGATCAGCACCCTCATTTTGAGGCTGGTTTTCAGATCAAAGATGAAAGCGATTCACTCGAGTAAAACTGTGCTCTTAATGTAGTTCATCAAAAGTAAACCACGTCTTTACTGTTATTAACCCTGTTTGTACATGCAGTTGTCCTTCTGAAATACTCCATTTCATTTATCACAATACTAATCGTAAAACTAATTTAATAAATAATCCTAATTTTGTTCATCAAAGTGAAATTACAGGTTTAACACGTCTTCATAATTGGCTGCTACAGTGATTTGATGTTATAATAGCAGTAATGTAACTAGAACTAACAACAATGATACAGTCATTTAGATTGAAAATTTTGTGTTAAAGCATCATCTTCACTGACATTAAGCCTTTTTATATTGTGTTTAACATCATTTGATCTCATTTCTTTTCATAATTTTTAATATAATAATATTAATAATTATATATATGCGCATTAAAGAGTAAATATAATTGAAAATCTTCACTTACACTTCTTATCAGTATACTATACATATAATTATGTAATGTTATTCCAAATATAATAATAACAATAACAGCAATAGTGTACTTTACTATTAAAATCATTTGATGTAATCTCCTTTTACAATAATAATTGAAAAGCTCTCTTAACTGAAAATAAATCAAAGGCTTAATTTAACCATTTTGTTAATAGTAATAATAATAATAATAATTTTAGTTATGTTTAGTTCTGCCTATAACAACAACAATAATGATGTAATAATAATAAATATTATTATTAGTTTGTTTTATTATTGTCACAATTACCAGCGATCTAGCCTGTGCAGATTGCTGGAGAAGTACACATATGCCACTGATAAGAACTACAAATCCCATCATGCACCACAAACACACACCAGTTCCAGTTCTCTCCCTGATTACAGCTGGAAACTCATGATGGACTAATCAGATGGACCATATAAACAGCAAACATACACGCATACTTTGCTCATTCTTGTTCACTGTTATCCTATAGCATTATGATGCGTTTCCTAGTCTTGCTGTGTTTCCTAACTCGTTTTGTTCTTTATTTTTGTATTGGACAAAGCGTGGCTTCGTGAAGCACTGAAAGTCGAAGCATCGAAACGTTTTGAAACCTGTCGCTACAGTGACACTTAGTGGTTATTTTTTATGTATTGCTTTGGAACAGCTTCAGCAAAGAAACAATTAAGCAAATTGAGGTGTTAAACCCCATGTTGTATAGTGATTTGCTGAAGTGGTGAGAGTTCAAGACTAGCATGCTGAGATAAGGGGTTTGAATGCAGGGAGATGCAGCTATAGATGTTCTTGTAATGCGTTTTGTTTTAACATTGGTTTGATGTCTGAATGAAAACTTCGTGAATAAATATGTCTTGGCATAAAAAATTCAAACTCGGGTCATTTGCAGCGAAGTTACTCTGTTTACACATACAGTCCACTAGAACAAGGGTTCCCAAACTTTTCAGCCCGCGACCCCCAAAATAACCATGCCAGTGACTCGCGACCCCCAATATCCTCTGAGGTGGTAATAAATACAGAAACCTTGCATGCAATGGCACACACACACCAATTAAATTTGTGTCAGTGCTTTAAATGTGCCAGAAAGTATAACCTGATGTTATAAAATCAAAATGCATCTGACACTATTGCTGCCTTTAATATAATGCAATTACCCCAGGGGTCGCAATCCAATAGAACTAGTAACTATAAGCTACTATTTTTATTTTCAGTATAGTTATGGTTAAAATATGTTAATTCTTATGGTTTAATAAAAATAAATAGATTTTTGGAAATCACCAGGCGACCCCCCTTCATTGCCCCGCGACCCCTCGGGGGGGTCCTGACCCCCACTTTGAGAACCACTGCACTAGAATACACGAGATAAAGACCATCTCTGACACTGTCAGTCAAAGCAGATTCGCCATGTCTTGAAACGCTTTTGAAATGACGGATGCCTTGAATCGCTTTAATCACGTCACCTGAGTGTTTCTAATCACCTTAGTTATGTGATCTGGGTGTTTCGGATGATGAGGGTTATGTCACGAGCTCAGATTTGGTTGACCAATAAAAGGAAAATTGGGTGTTTCAGCACCGCCTACACGTGTATAATGAATTTTTAAGTCGTTTTTCCATTTTCCTACGCTAAATTAAAAAAAATTTAAATTGAGCCAAAATATCATTTTTTCGTTTCTTGGAAGCAAACGAAAAACGGAAAAAAATGCCGTTTTCTTCATTTTCCTTTTTCGTTGGAAAACGGATGTGGATTGGACGGAATATAACCTGATTGATACACTGGCCCGAAATATTTGCACTTCGGGATCTCAACTCTCTCGACACAGTGTCGAAACGTCAGTTTCAATAGTTCCCACTTAGATATGCTTGGCATTTATAGCAGGTTTGGCATGCTGTCCCGGGAGAGAACCCTGAGCTCGGAGATATTTGAGCCCAGGGCTCCCGCCCGGTCTAGAAGCATATCAGGAGATCCGAGATCAGGTAGGTCTCGATCGCTCCCCCTTTAGAAGGGGAGAAAAAGGAGGAGATGGGGTGGAAGGGGGGATTCTTCCAAAACGAAGATAGAGCAGTAAGGAGAAAGTGATCCATTTATATTAAGCTAGGATCATTCTGATTGGATTATTACGGATGAGTGGCCAGCGGTGCACAATCATATCACGTGCACCTCTCGAAATTAGTTTATGAAACTTCACTTCAAGTCAGCCATCCCTACTTTGTTTATCCTGTTTGCCGCCTGCACCGACCTTTACTCTTACCTCTTTTGTACCCGTACTCCATGTTACAATTATGATTTTAATGGTTATTGTAAATAATATTATGTGACAGGCAGAATTAAACTTTGGACAGAAAAGTTAATATTATGAATAAGACATGAATACACATTCAAAAAGGCACTATTGATTTTCTTTTATTTGCCTCGCTCATTTTTCATTTGAATTCAAAGATATATGAAATCCCTGGACCACTCTGTTTCTTCCTCACCAGTGTGCGAGTGGGCCGGTTAGTGGGGTTCAGTGGATGTCCAGGCGGAGGCTGATTCTGAGCAGGCCCATGTGGAGCTGGAATAGCCTGAACCCCTGGACCCCACGGTGTGTCTGTATCCCGGCGCATCTTGCTTTTAGAGAAATGCCTGGGGAGAAAAAACAGACCCCTCTTAAGTCAAGCATTCTTTGACTTTCATCTACAGATAATCCAGTGAGAACAGCAGCATGGTTCAGCATGCATTAATAATTCATTCTGATCCGCTCTGAAACACCCTTTATGACCACACTACTTCTCGCTCACCATTTCTTCCTCTCATATTTGTCCTGCAAGAACTCCTTCAGCTTCTGCGTGTCACGTGCATCAAAACAGCCGTCGGTTTTGGGGTCAAATGTGCAGAGCCAGGTCCTCCTTCCAACCTAACAACCCCACAGCCCAAGAATACACACAGTTAAGCTACTTTTAAAGCCTCGTTAACAAAGTTTACACAGAGTACTTCCTCAAACATGTTTGCTTAGGGTGACCCTACAGCAGTGCTGGAAATAGTACTGAGAAATCATACTCAAGGACCATTACTTGCCAAAAAATGAAGTGCAAGTAAAATAAAAGTATCTGTTCTCTTTAATACTTAAAGTAAAAGGTAGTCATTTTAAAAGAACTCAAGAATAGAAAGTAGTGAGTATTATGCTGTGAAATTGTTTCACTTTATACCCCACAAAATAAATATACAGCCTACGTCAGTGCAATTTTCTTTTAAGGGTGTTTCTAAATGCAAGTTAAATTATTTGCACCTATAATAGGATAATATAATACAAGCCCGTAGCCAGGGGGGTTCGAAGAGTTCAGAAGACCCACGGCTCACTGACAAAGGTGCAGAATTTGTCCCATATATAAGCTCATTTGTCCTATTTTGACTGCTATGCCATCATAAATAGTAAAAAATAACCCATAGAAAAAAGTTTTAAGGCCGAGCGGAATCCTGGTGTGACTTTAGCTAATCAGTTTTGGCCAATGCTTACAATTATTTTTCAATATTCCAACATCCAGCTGTGCAAGAAAACATTTGACATAAGCGAAATGATCTTTCGCTACTGTATTGTGCTTAAAAACATTTGAAAAGTAACTTTTATTCTAAATCTTGGATCTTATTCTCGAAAGAAAACATGAACAATAAAAAAGTGTGAAGCACCAAAAGCGACCCATATTAAAATCTATTTGAATACTATTTTTGCTATTGTTGTTATCCATGAATTTTTAAATGTACTTTTTTTTTACAAGAGAGACTGGAAAAATTGTGAAGCTCTCAATTATTATTATTATTGTTATTATTATTATTATGTTTTAATTTTTTATTATTCAAGTGGGCAAATTCTGACTGAGGAAAGTTAATTGTGCTGCCCAATTTGTAATTTGCCTAATAAATGAAAATAGGCTACAGATTTTAATTTAAAACTTATTTTCTAATAATATATGATGTATTTTAAAAATAATATATTTGTAATATCTTTTTATTCAAAATATTTATAAAACATTTTTGGTACATTAAAAAGTGTGGTTATGATGACCATCCGACAAGCTAATCCAGCTTAAAATAGCGCTTAAAATATCTAGACCTTAATTCAGTTTGTAAATTTCATAATTAAATAAAAAATGAAGCAAAATTTGAGGAAAAATAACCACCCCTTTCCCCAATCTGTGTAACCTAACGAGCAAAATTGTAGCTGTGACAATATGTAAAACGTAATATGCAATTTTAACTTACAAGCAACGAGTGTTCAGCACTTGGCGCCACAAACCAAGTTGGTGCAGCACTGATAATGCAATTTGTTGATTTATTTAAAAACATTCTGTAGTGTATTTAGTTATTGTTTAAGGCTATTTTGCGATTTCAGTCATCATACAGTAGCCATGCTTGTAGGATAAAGACTTAACAGTCATTGTGTATAACATTTTGGCATTCTTGGACACTTTTATTAGCTTTCACATTTTTTAAACTACTGAGAAATCCACTATTCCTGAATAAAAACACCCAATTACAGTAATTTGTGTAAACAGCAAAAATCAGTCCAAGGCACTCAAAAAATGTGGAAAATTTAAAAAGAAAACACAAACACATTTTTTCCACATTTTTGAGTGCCTTGGACTGATTTTTGCTGTTTTTTTCTGATGAATCCTTTACCCAAAGAGCACTGACACATTATTTAAGCTGCTCCTGAGCACTTTTTGTTTGATTTTGGGGTTTTTACAATAATTTGTGTATTTGTAATTCGCTACTTAACACCACCGCCCTACACTATGTTCAATTTTTCCTGGAAAAGCTCTGTTTATACTTTTAAGACGTTTAAAAAATGTTCTAAGCACTTTAGCTAAAAATTCATAACAGTACATACAGTCAAAATCAGAATTATGAGCTCCCCTTTGAAATGTTGTTTCTTTTTTAAATATTTCCAAAATAATGTTTAACAGAGCAAGGACATTTTCACAGTATGTCTGTTAATATTTTTTTATTTTGGAGAAAATCTTATTTGTTTTATTTCGGCTAGAATAAAAGCAGTTTTAAATTTTTTAAAAGCCGTTTTATTATCAATATTATTAGCCCCTTCAGGGTATATTTTTTTCGATAGTCTACAAAACAAACCATCATTATACAATAACTTGCCTAATTACCCTAACCTGCCTAGTTACCCTAATTAACCTAGTTAAGCCTTTAAATGTCACTTTAAGCTGTATAGAAAAGTCTTGAAAAATATCTAGTCACATATTATGTACTGTCATCATGACAAAGATAAAATAAATCAAGTTATTAGAAATGAGTTATTAAAACTATTATGTTCAGAAATGTGTTAAAATCTTCTCTCTGTTAAACAGAAATTGGGGGGAAAACAAACAGGGGGGCTAATAATTTAGGGGGGCTAATAATTCTGACTTCAACTGTACATGACAGTCTTCTGTCATGTGAAAATAACCTAATCAGTGGAGGTCAATATTGTGATACACTGAGCAAAAAACAAAATCCTGGGTTGCGCATAATGGCTTCATGTTGTCCCAACACAAATCAACTAAGTTAACTTAATCAAACAAATTTAAATGAATTGAACATAAAACAAGTGTAGTCAATTTTGAAAGAACTAAATCATCATCCAATTCCATTTCTCTATCAACTTTCAGTAGGTAAATGTGGGACCTGCATTATCAAATGTCAGAGTAAAGTGATGATGGAAACTACGAAGGAGACAAAAATGATTTACAATAGTTATAGCATGATAAACACATGCAGGGCTCAACAATAAGGACTGCCCGGTGGCCCGGGGCCAGCGTGAAAGACACTCGGGACAGTAGACAGGATTGTTACTGGCCCCTATCGGCCAGTAACGATGAGAATGTTTTTTTGTTTTTGTTTTTTTTTGTAACCTGGTAACAACTAGTACAGTGAAAAGATGGCAACATGGTGGCAAATTTAAACAATGAGGCTAAAAGAAAACGTTTCTAAAGGCTTAGAAGCAGACCATTACATGGGTACAAAATTAAGAAACTGAAAAAAAGAACAAAAAAAAAAGTTGTCAGTTTGGCAAGCCATTTTTATAAAAAGTTATTTAGAATTGCATTAAAACACCAGCACATTTTTCATACTGCTCTTTCATTTGCATAAAATCTTGAATTTTGCTCATTATACATTTATTAACATATTTAAAATGTTTAAATTCTAGATTCACTGGCATAATTTTGCCACTATTTAAAATATGTGGCTAAGAAATAGCTATTAACTTTTTAGTTTTTTTGGTGGGGCTAGTGAAAATTTTGACAGGGCAAGTAAAAATCTTAAGCAATGGCCCGATCGGACCCGTATAAAAATCATTAGCGTTGAACCCTGACATGAATGAGTTTGTTGAAAAAAAAAAACATACAACATCTCCCACATGAACATCCCATATGCTATTCTATGAAAACTGGTCACCCTACGTATGCTCGGAACATTCATGTAAAATTGAGATCATTTAGAAAGCATTTCGTGGTTGTGTGTGCAACTGACTTAAAAGCTTTATTACCACTGAACATTAATAATGTAAAAACATGTCAAACAATACTGTTAGTTGCATTACAAGGAAAACGGTGTGCTCTACCATGGTGTGTCTGAGGTAATTCAACAAATTAGTATTTTTGCTAAGTCACGCGAATGCTCAGACACATTTTTAGCATAAAATGAGCTTAGACGCAATTCAGGAGGCTTAGTTATGCATTGAGATTTCTGTATGGATTAGAAGCGATTTAGCTCTGTTGGAACCATTTTCTTACCCTCAACTTGTTTCAAAATGTATGAGTTTCTACTGCACGACACAAAATCAGATATTATAATGTTGATAACCTTAGAGTATTACTTATTACCAAATTACATATTTCTATGGAAGTCAATGGGGACCAACAAAAATGAGGTTACCTATGATCTGCAAAAAATGTGTTCATCAGAGGAAAGAAACAGCATATTTTTGGTGAACTATCTCTTTACTGTTATCACTATAGCATTGATATTTGCTCTGTCTGTCTGTTCCTGCTCATACTCAACATACTTTACTGACAGAGGAGAGGAGGAATGAGTCAGAAGAATTTTTGCCAGTGTTATACAAGCACCGGCGCCCACCCTCAGAGCATTGGCTTCAGCTGCCGTGAGCATTTGTGGGTGTGAATGTGAGCGAGTGTGTGTGTGTGTTGGTTGTGGAGTGAAAGAGCAGTGTCTGTACTTGAACCCCTTTCAGATTCGCTCACCAGAAAGGCAAGTTCAGTCACAGGCTCATGGGAAAACCACAGTATATAATGAACCTAAAATCTCTACCCACACACAATATATATCAGATAGATTTAATATGAAAGATTCTCAAGTGATATAACTCATGGTGGTCGCCATAATTTAACTGATTATAGTCTTTCATTTCCAAAGATGGACTAAATAGTTTTACAAATGCACTTTGACACACATCCATATAAGAAATACGGTTAAAAATAATCTGCGAAGGTGTATCCATTACACAAGTGGTATTTGCTATTAATAGAATTCATGTTATGTTACACGTGAGATTGTTGATGGGGAAAATGTTTTGGTTTTTTACACATTTGAGAAAGCCTCTCTTCAGTTGTAGGAAACTTGAAACTAATGTTCAGCTAATGTCAAAGGTGCTACTGTAATGCCAAAGCTTCGTGCAATGGCATGCAAAGATAAGGAATTCAAACTACAGGCAGTCCTGTATCTAAAGTCTCAGATACACTCAATGATCAAACTAACAAAACAGTCACTTTAATCAGCTCGTCTGTCAACATCATGTTGGTGATTTGCAGAGCTTGCGCAAACAAAGATAGGATCAGATGCTTTTAAAACATCTGTTTTCTCACAGCTGTATTTTCAGTTATGTTTATTATTTAGTTATTGAGAGAAAAGAGTGCAGCACAGATTTACCTTTTCATCTGAACCTCTCTGTGTGGACAGCATATGGATGTTTGTTAGTAGAATATATCTGCAAATGTATTCCCAGCCTATTTTATCCTATGTTTTTCTTGCACTTTGGGTTTACTACTTGGCTTAGAGGTCAAGGATCTTTACCATTATGATAGCAAAAATGTATATTTCCCCACTTATATCCACCAAAAACTAAACCTTTTTAATAAGAAAACTACATTTCTTTTTCAGGTATCTATAATTTTAAGCAACATTGCAATGTGTTGTTGTTGCTTTTTTGGGGAGGGAGGGTTGCTTTGTTTGGCAGTTGAATTTTGCACAACACCCTACAAATTCACCAGCTTATACAACAAATGTTGAAAGGATATTTAGTAAAATGCAATGAAATTAAGCATCTGTTTTTTTTACTTTTATTTCATTAGCAAAAGTACAAATAAGAAAATCCCAATGTTTTCACTGATAAACTTCAATGTATTTTGTACATTTTTATTTTGATGGCAGCAGCTCATGACTGAATGTTGGGACAGGGAGAATAAAAGATAAAAGCATATCCAAATTAAACAGGTTTGAAAGTCCACAATAAGCAGGTGAACTGTTGATACATGGGAGTTTCATGAATGGCTCTACAATGAGCATCTTGGGTGTTTCGAGGTAAAGCTGGATCGTAGCTTATCTTTCAACCCAGACTCATTCTAAAAACGTAGCCCTACATACATTTCTAGAGAGTGCCAAATACATCACAGGAGGTATGTTTTTTGCAGTTTTTGTTTTTGCAAATCCACTGCTGTGTACGCTTTTTGAGATCTCAAATTTTTCTCACGAGTGCCATTCGTGCCCCTTCTTCTTGCGTAAATCCACCAGAGGCTGTTGTCAACTAGCTGACGGACCAACCGACTGATTTTTCCCACCCAAACCTTTCCCTAAACCCAACCGACAGTGTTTTGAAAAGCAATCCAGAAAAAAAGGCCCCCTGATATTTCCATATTCTCACAATGTTATATTACTTGTATTATTTTTATTTATTTATTTTTTTTGGGGGGGGTATTATTGGCTTTCTGGAACCGTTTTTCTTCAGACACAAACCTCCTCATCTTTGTCAACTCCTCTCTGCATCTCAAGTTCGCTAACCTAATAGTAACAAATGGCTTTCTCTGATCTCTGAACTATATCTTAAATATTAATAATTAAAAGGATAAAAGGATAATTATAATATCATAGTAATATAATATAAATATACATTTGACACCCCCCAGTACAGTTCATACCATTGTGAATACATAATCTTGCCAATCAATGCCATGAAAAATATCATTCAACACTCTGAAACTGGCAGCTCTAGAGCAGTGAAGCACATCTTAAGTATTCACAAAACACATTTCTTGTAAAGTAGGGGTTTGTATCTGTATGTAGCCTAAAACAATTAAAAATGGACACATAATTTATGGTTTGACCTACAGTAACCTCCAGGATAGTCACTAAATATCCCTCAAAACACTGAAAACGTGGACATTTTATTAATAAATTAGATGCCATTTAAATACATTCATACATTTGATTCACTGAAGCATATATGACCAAACTACTATCGAAAAAGTTGACCCCGCTTGCATGGTCAAAGTATAATTCTCACACTGAGAATAGACATTTACCCTAACTTGCTCTTTGAACCTTGGAAATGAGAAAAGGGTTCATATTGAAGATTTGTTTTCAGTCTTTGACCACCAAGCGGTCTGACTTGTGCACTAGTAAACCTGCCACTCACCTCATTGCCATGGTTTTGCAAAAACTCCACTTCCTGTTGGGAGAAGGTTGTCATGGAAATAGACTTAACTCTGTGGGGTGGGTTGAGTCCTCTCCTGAAACACAAATAAACAGCACAAACTGCGTGGTGAACACAAAACAGAGATGAGGGCTTGCCTTCATTTTTAACATCGATAGGGTGGGATGTGACAGGGCTGTGAAAATGAGAGCCTGCAAGAACCTCTTGCAGTAACAAATGACAAAACCGTAAAGGAAGCGGGCTGCGTTTGTTTTTTTCTTCAGTGCACAGTGAAGAACTAGCAAGATGTGTTTGTTCGTATACAGTAAGTGCAGTTGCAGACTGAAACTGAGGTGGAATCACACCATTCCTTTGCCCACATGCAGAAAACACGTTTATATTGATGGCAAACCTGAAATCATGACGAAATGATACGTAACGCAGGCGAGACCGGGGCACGCCTGAAAACGACAAAGTAGTAATTACGGACTGTGTTCATGAATGTAAACACAACCAGAGATCTGTAACTGCGCTGCATCTGCATATTTCCTGAAGGTTCAGTTCAGAGTTTGAGGAATAACAACATTAATACAAATCTGTTTGTAATCACTAATAATCACATGCACTTGGGTATTATAACTCACAACATTCCGGAGCATGACGTGCACACGAAGCACCCCACGGTGATGTCGATGTAAGTCACCCCGGGTTGGTTGCACTCGAAGCAGTGCTTGTTCACTCCCGTCTGGGCGAGCTCGCGGACCTTGCGGGCGCAGATCTCCTGGTTGTCCCGGTGTTTTCGGTTCGACATGCTGCTGGTGCCCTGCAGTCGCACACACCCCCTGGCCCTCGAGACTGTTGTGGGGGAGCCGTTCACTCGCCCACCGTTGCACTTTAATTCCCCCGCCGTAGTCCGTCTCTCACGCCCGCATTCTGAGCACGGCTATGCGGCTGCAGCTCTTCTTCTTGTATGGTGCCAAAATCAAGCGTCCGATCGACCGGCCATACACTTGAATTGACAAGAAACGAATCTCACATGCGTGCGTAGCCTCCGTGGTCACGACTGGCCGATCCGCCTGGAGTTTTACAACCGCCCCGTTTATTTATTCATTGCTGCGGTTTTTCTCCTGTGGGCGCAAAAAAATCGGATTCTCACGAGCGCGGGATCATTATTCTTCCTCGCTCTGCCAGTTTCTCTCTCTGTTCTGTTCGCACTGTACCAAGCGCAGTCTGCTGTTGCGCACCCGCGTTTCCTTCACTGATCCTGGGGAGATAGCGAACAGAAACCAAGACGAGGACGGAGGCAACTTAAGAGCCCACTGCCCCTGAAAGCGGGATAAGCAGGGACTAATCTGCTTAACAATATTTTGTTTATGGTGGTGGTGTGGTCATTATTTTATGCTTATTTATGTCCAGTGTTTCCCAGCAACGTGAGATTTTTATCTTGGACGCGAGTAGATTTTTTTATCACGCCCTTCTGTATGACGTTTGAAATAAAAAATTCTGTCCTCTGTGTGTTTATTAACTCTTTACTGTTGGAGTGGGCTTCACAAATCAATGCGAGAAGTCCCAATTGTGCTGTGACTGGAAAATAAGATAAATGCTGTAATCTCAAACACTTGAAGAATGTTAAGTGAGCGGTCCTGCTGTTAGCACATTCTTGAGTTAGATGACCATGTATCACCACCAGTTTACACTGATGTAATGTTGGCCTGGTTCCTGCTCTTGCAGTGAGTTAAAACACAGCATGCGTTTAATGCATCGGCGACTACCTACCAGCAGAGGTAGCAGTTTCGCCGAACATATGATTTATTTAGCAGTAAGTGTTTTTAAAGGGATAGTTCACCCACAAACGAACATTCCATTATTATTTACTCACCCGTCACTTGTGCCAAACCTGTTTGAGCTTATTTGTTTGGTTGAACACAAAAGAAGATATACTGAAGAATTTGACCATTGACTTCCATTGTATTTCTTGTTCCTATACAGTGCATGTTGAGTGAATCCAACCTGGTTTCAACAGAAGAAAGAACAACACTTGAGTGCAAGTAAGTTATGAGGAAATTTTCAGTTTTGGAAGAAAAATTAGTTAAAATGTTGTGCTTATTTGTAATCTTTCCACTTTATTTTTCGAGATGCAAAATCCCTTTAAGGCAAATCATTTAACTCGGCATTCATCTTTGAAACGCCTCTCGGGCAGTATGCTGAGACATTCTGTCTGATATGGGAAACATCAAATTCTCCAAAACTACTTGCCAAACGTATAAGGTATATGTAGGTATATGTTACGAAGTACTAGGGCCAGACAGAATCTGCGGACGTCTTTTGCTATTTATGTGGATAGTTTTGTTAAAAAACTGTGAATTTCTGCGGAATAATTTTGGAAGTATCATAACTAAAACCTTAATATGTGAAATAAAAATATATTTTTTTTACTTTTATTTAATGTTTAAAATGCAAATCCAGTTAGATTCACATGATTTGGTAAACAAAGGAAGTCTCATAATATATCTACTAAAAGACAGAAAATATTACTTTATAAACTGCATTGTACATGAATCAGATGAACATTTTCATAATAGTCATTATTATTACTGTAATTAATTTAAAAACTGAATAAAATAAGTTTTGGGTGAAGCAGTGGCGCAGGAGGTAGTGCTGTCGCCTCACAGCAAAAAGGTCGCTGGTTCGAACCTCGGCTCAGTTGGCGTTTCTGTGTGGAGTTTGCATGTTCTCCCTGCGTTCGCGTGGGTTTCCTCCGGGTGCTCTGGTTTCCTCCACAGTCCAAAGACATGCGGTACAGGTGAATTGGGTAGGCCAAATTGTCTGTAGTGTATGAGTGTGTGTGTGAATGTGTGTGTGATGTTTCCCAGAGATGGGTTGTGGCTGGAAGGGCATCCGCTGCGTAAAAACTTTCTGGATAAGTTGGCGGTTCATTCCGCTGTGGCGACCCCAGATTAATAAAGGGACTAAGCCGACAAGAAAATGAATGAATGATAAAATAGGTTTACACACATTTACTCAAGTAAATAAACAGCATTAATGATGGGCTAAAAATATGCGGAATTCTACGTGCGCAGATTTCGTGTGGGCCTACGAATAACCAATACATTTAAACAACAACTGTCTATTTAGTTTTTTTCTAAATGTTCGTATCACACAAAATCTGCAGAAACTCACGTCTGGTTAAAGCCCCTCCCCTGGAGAATTGTCATTCTATAGCAATCGCTGATTGGCTCCTATACTAAAAGGCGGGCTTCAATTACCATATAGCAATCACTGATTGGCTCCTGTACTAGAAGGCGGGGCTTCATTCGTCATATTGTTAGACTTTTCCCCATTCAAAAGTATACGAGAGACATGTCTTGTGTATTATATAGTCTTTGGTAGATGTTAGGAGAGAAAGCTCGTTTCTGGTGTCCAGAACGCTCCCAAACTTTTCTTTGTTGCTTAGCCAGAAAATCTTTCTTTAAGCAAATAGATCTTTTTCTTCAGGTTAGGGGAACGTTTTCACTCTGTTAACAATTTGCTGTAGAATCTACAGTAACTTACCAACAGCAGTTTGCCAGTAACTTACTGTAAATTAGCAAGAATACTGTATTTACATGTACAGCACCACTTATCTTTCAATTGGTGTATTTACAGTATTGTATTTCATTACTGTAAAATATACAGTAAATTTCAAAATGCAACTTTAAAATACAGTAGCATACTGCATATCTGTCCAGTAAAATATATCATTTACAAAAATAGTTAACAGTGCATAGTTTTCTATTTACACATAAAAAAATGACCGGCTAAATTGTTGCAAACAATGTATAAATGTTGCATTTAAACAAACAAGTTAAATTTAGTAATGTTCAACTTAATTTGTTTGCTTAAATTCAGCCCAAATAAGGTGTTTACAACCACTTAACTTAAAAAAAAAAATTGTAAATCCAAGGAATAATTTTTTAATCTTTTTTTCAGCAGTTGTTATAAAAAGTGCAATGCTCTGGGAAGTTTATTTTTTGTTACTGAACAAGAACCTACAGAGTTCCCAGAATATTCTTATGTGGTTCCCAAAGAATAACCAAATTGAACTATTAGAGGGATGTTCTGTGTGTTTTGGCTTATTTGTGAATGTATAAAACTTCTGATGTGCTTTGAGGGAAATTTATTTATTCATTCATTCAATCCTTATTTTTCTTTTCGGCTTAGTCCCTTTGTTAATCTGGGGTCGCCACAGCGGAATGATCTGCTAACTTATCCAGTACATGTTTTTTATGCAGCGGATGCTCTTCCAGCTGCAACCCATCTCTGGGAAACACCTATACACTCTCATTCACACACATTCACTAAAGAAAATGTAGCCTACCCAATTCACGTGTACCGCATGTCTTTGGATTGTGGGGGAAACCGGAGCACCCGGAGGAAACCTTCACAAACACAGGGATAACATACAAACTCCACACAGAAACTCCAACTGACCCAGCCGAGGCTCGAACCAGTGACCTTCTTGCAGTGATGTGACAATACTACGTACTGCGCCACTGCGTTGTCCCTTGAGGGAAATTATAAGGGAATAAAAAAGTGTTTGAGTAAAAGGTGCCCTTGAAATTGAGACAATATTGGAAATATGATGGGAATTCCAGTTCCTAATCTCAAGCATTACAATAAACTGTTTTGTATGACAAAGAATGCCTGAAAATGGATGACATGGGATCCAACAATTTCAGTTTACAAAAGAGACACGCCCAGGGGTGTCAAAACTCACCTGAATCAGATAACAGTGCCCTGTGTTTCAATACGCTTGCAGGCTCTGCTCTTGACCACTTGTCTACATGACACATTTCCTGTATTTGGCCCAATTGGGTTTAGAAACCTTTGATTTGGCTAATATTTGTGGTGGGGTTGTAAAATGTTGTTCAGTCATCCCTGTATAACACAAATTAGACTAATGCTGATCTGTCCACTTAAGCGTTATAAACACTGCGACTTTATCTTGTGATTTGAGTTCCTGAATGCATACTGGTACTCAAATAGTCCACAGTATTATAGAGATAGTGTGGATTTAGTGTGTGTTAACCCTTTAACTGCCCCACCAAAAAAAAAAAATGTTCGAGTTGCATTTCTTAACTCCTAATGTCAGTTAACACACTCAATGGATTTTTTTCAACTCATCCCATAATTTCTAAAATATTAACCTCTAACAAAGGGTAGATATGTCAGTTTATGGGAAAAGTACCAGAATGGATACATATACTGACAATATGAAGTATAAGACCAATTTATTTTAAAAACATAATCAAAATAAAACATTTTTCAACACTAAATCATCTATATTTTTTAAAGTATGCAATAAAATATTTCAGATTTTCATTTAACGTGATTTTCTTGTTTTTTGTTTTACAATAAAAACAAAATCAAGTGTAGTAGCACAACAGGTTTAAATTTGTTTAATTATTTTGTTAACCAACAATGCTGTGTGTAAGCCATTGTTTAAAACAGTCATTCTTTAAATGACTTTAACAGTCATCATTTAAAACAGTCAAAATATGGTCAACCATTTGGTAGAGCAGGCAGTGGGACCTGTGTCAGCCTTGCTTATTTAACCATCATTTTTAGGCCATTAACAGAAATTTTGGTTATATCTTTCTGTTGAGTACACGCCCATTCAAGTAGTCAAGACCACAAGTGTTTGTATTGGGAAAGGCTGACAGTCAGACTACTAGAAATGTTCTTTTTCATTTCGTAGATAAAAAGAACATTGGTAAATATAAATTGAAAATATTACTGACAATTGACTTTACGTCATGTAAACTGCACACACCCATGCTGCAAACATGAATAGTGGAGCATGTTTATTTTTAAAGGCCTATTATTGAAATGTGTACTTGTACGGGAACATTTAAGGTAAAATTGTGTGCGGTTTATATATAACAAAACGTTCAAGTATTGTCAAGTTCTGTTTGCTACAGACCTTATTTGACTCCTAACTGATGTTTTTCTTTATATTAATCCCCAAAAGCAAATCTCAAGTTCATTAGAGTTTACAGTTTCTCTACAGGATTTAAAGTTAAATTTGGTTTCATTTGGACCATTTACCTCACTATTTTGACATTTTACTTGCAATTCTGAATTTGTCAAATTCTGTTTTTTCCATCAAAATTCAGATGGAAATGGTCTAAATTGTGTGTCAAAACTCACAACTATGGGACAAAAAGATTGAAGTAAATTTAAAGTTAAATGTTCTAATATTTATGACTTTATTCAGAATTCCAAACTTTTTTTTTTACACATTTATGGGTTTGTTCACATTTCTGATGTTATTTTCAGTGAAATAACTGAATTATTTCTCAGAATTAATCAAGAAGTGCTCTTTCCTGGGACAGCATGCCAAACAAGCTTTATAATCAATCATCAGCTAAGTGTGAACTCTTGAATTATATTTATTTATTTACATAAATACAAATAGGGGTGACATGGTGGCTCAGTGCTATCGCCTCACAGCAGGAAAGTTGCTGGTTCGAGTACTGGCTGTGTCAGCTGGCATTTTTGAGTGGAGTTTGCATGTTCTCCTCATGTTCGCGTGGGTTTCCTCCCGGAGCTCTGGTTTCCCCCACAGTCCAAAGACATGCGCTATAGGTGAACTGAATAAGTTAAATTGGTCGTAGTGTATGTATGTGTGTGAATGAGTGTGTATGGATGTTTCCCAGTACTGGGTTGTAGTTTTAAGGGCACCCAGTGTGTAAAAAATGTCCTGGATATGTTGGCGGTTAATTCCGGTGTGATGACCCCTGATGAATAAATGGACTAAGCTGAAGTAAAATGAATAAATGAATGAATAAAAAAATAAGTATAATAATTAAAACATTTTACATAAAAAGTCAGAATTGTGAGATGCTGCAGTTGCCTTTAACATCTAGAGGTTTAACAAAATGATATAAAGGTAAATAATTTGTATTACAGGTGAGCTTGTGGGTAGAGATGAGTTTCTTTTATCACTTATATGTCACATTGACAAAAGACCCCTTTTAACCTCATTACAATTGCCAAATTAGCTTTTTTGTTCTCATTTCATTGAGGATGATCACACTATAATTAAAGTATTATTTAACTATTCTGAAATGTGTAAAAAAAATACTTGTGTTTTATTGTATCCTACTTGATACTGCTTTGTTTACACCGATAGAGAGAGAGGGAGAGAGAGAGAATGAATGTAAAGGCTTCATTTGCATGTGTTATAGTGGGCGTACAATTGCATGGGCTTATTTTAAGGTTACACCTCTGACTCAGACTCAGCTTTTGCTTGTGTTTTGGTTTTGGCTTGATTTTTTTCACTGCTGTCAGGTGGGGCTTTTTCTCATGTGAACAACAGGTTTAACCAGGACAAGTATGGATAAGCTAGCTGATAGTGACAGAAGCAGTGTGGTTTTGATTACACGTGATGTTAGAAAGTCTGGAGAACATTCCTGAAAGAAATGCTTGATCTGAAACTAGCATGTGGAGGGATGTCTATTCATTTTCATGGCTTCTGAAATTAATAACAAACTGAAATTAGACGAAACTATTATATTTTCGATTATTATTATTTTTATTTATTCAGTTTTAGAACACTGGTCACCCAACTACCATTATGAATAGCCTTAGTGTTAACCTAATCTCTATTTTAAAGCAGCTAACAGACAAACATGCTTCAATTATACACACCAGAAACCCGGAAATACAGTGCGCTCTCGTGTAGGGGGGTGGACCAACTGAGGCAAATTCAAGAGCGGAAAAAAAGTTCTCCTGCGAAGTGCGAACAAGTTTTCAGTCTCTCGGGGGAAACGTGAAAGGACATGAGCCGAAACACACATCGATACATGAAATACGAATCTATGGACTAATAAATGGATCAGTCGCGAAGCCTGGAGTCTTTAATGACATTTTGCGCTTGAACATTTAGGAAGAGATGAGGCCGTAATTATTGGTATGCACTAGATATATTTGTTTGATCACTACTCGTTATTTTGTGTTTATATAAATTAAGTACAGTTATAATATTATTTTTGAGGCTTTCTTAAAAGAAATAAACGTGGTTTTGATTTAAAACAATGTTTTTATTTTGCTTTCACCAGGCAACACCCGACTGATATTTATACCGAAAGCGTCCAATGGAAACGGCTGGTTTAATTAATCTTTTCTGAGCGATTCCTGATGTTGTTCACAGTGTTGGTCTCACAGGGCTGGACGTTCACCGCATGAAGGAGCTCTTTTAGGACAGATTACATAATTTGAGCTGTGTGGAATTATAAGACATTTCATAAGACATCATCTGTGTTGCTTTTAACTCCTCAAAATGACTGTCAAACTGGACTTTGAAGAGTGTCTCAAAGACTCCCCGCGATTCAGGTAAGCTTTTGTTAAGACGACAGAAATATCTACTGCAGGCTGTTAATATATCCTTGTAGTTTGGTCACATGCAGCACATTATAATGATAAACTTCACTGGCATGTGCACCAAGCGATGACGTAGCAGGGTTGTTTCCAGCAGTTCTGGGATCAGGGCAGCGCAACGGTTTTGGCTGGGGAGTGCGTGAAATAGGCTGATTTCCGATCAGCGTGAAATGTGGTAAACTGCACTGGAAAGAATTTGGTCAGATACAGTAGTCAACATTGAAGTGGATGAAATGTTTTAAAATTCTCCTGATTGATTTTCGGACAACTTTGATGAAATGGTTTGATCCACTTCAAATGTTGACTGACTTACTGTAGACAGAATGAATGGATGAGGATTGACTGGCTCTGTGGTGGACAGTGAAAGAGGTTAATTCGTCTGGAAGGGAGTCCCTATGGGGTTGTGGAAATGTTTCATGGAAAAGCATAGTAACCTTAAAATAATTCTGAATTTAATTGACAAAAAAGTACAATATCAAACTAAAATAAATTGTATTACATATATGTCATGTGAAACAAACTAATTTGATTGAACTAAAGTAATACAAAAATAACGTACTAATGTAAAAATAAAGGTAAAAATAATTTATAATTTAATAAAAAAATAAAACTTAAACTATATAAATGTCATTACATATATGCTATAAACAAACTAATTGATTAAACTTTACAAAGTAATAAAAAACTATTTATATATATATATATATATATATATATATATATATATATATATATATATATATATATATATATATATATATATACACATACATACATAAATACATAGGTATGGGTATATGATTCTGAGGGTATGATAACCTTGAATGAAAATATCACGGTATTGTGATTACTTCTCTAAAATTCATTGTTTTTAAATGTTTGGGTAAAAAACAACAACTTCCCCCCCCCCCCCTTTAAACATAATGTATTTTATTTTGAGAAGCATTTAAAATATTTTGGAGCAGTAAACAGGCTAAATAAATCAAATAAATCATTGACTTCTGCTGTCTTCATTAGTTTCTTCATTAGATTTCTTTACAATTTAATACGACATCTTTGGAGATCTTTTCTGCTGGAGATGCTGTTGTCCTAAAACAAAACAAAAAAAGTAAATAAAAAAAAAAAAACGTACACATAATTTAGGAATGGTATAGAAGAAAATTTTGGCGGTTTTTAAAGCTTTGACTTTTCCAAACCGCGGTATATCCCCCCTGAATTTTATTTATTTTTTAAATATTTCCCAAATGATGTTTAACAGAACAAGGATATTTTCACAGTATGTCTATTTTTTCTTCTGGAGAAAGTCTTATTTGTTTTATTTCAGATAGAATAAAAGCAGTTTTTAATTTTTTAAAACCATTTTAAGGTCAGAATTATTAGCCCCTTTAAGCTATAGTTTTTGATAGTCTGCAGAACTTGCCTAATTACCCTAACCTGTCTAGTTAACCTAATGAACCTGGTTAAGCCTTTAAATGTCACTTTAAGCTGTAGAGAAGTGTCTTAAAAAATATCTAGCCAAATATATTTACTGTCATCATGGCAAAGATAAAATAAATCAATTATAAGAAAGGAGTTATTAAAACTATTATGTTTATAAATGTGTTGAAAAAATGTGCTCTCCGTTAAACTTCAACTGTATATAGGCTGGAAGGGCATCCTCCGTGTAAAACATGCTGGAATAGTTGGTAGTTCATTCCGCTGTGACGTCTCCCGATAAATCAGGGACTAAGCCAACAGAAAATGAATGAATGAATGAATGCAAAATGAAATTAAGATAAACTACATCATGTGTAAATAACAGGAACTACCGTGCAGCAATAGCTATGAACATTAATTGTGTTGTAACAGTAATAGAGTAACTACACAATACTCAATTTTAATTACTTTTTTAATACTTTTAACCAGTTTGTGGTATTTCACAGGATAAATTGGGTAATTATAACAAGATGCCTTTTACATTTAGCATCGTTGGATTTGCTCCTCAGTGTTTTTATCACATGAACTGAACTAAATTGAACTACATCTGTAAAAACTGGACTGCAGCGGTATCAATTTACCAGAACTTCATCTATGTTAAGCTGCTTTGACACAATCAACATCGTGAAAGAGCTATAGAAATGAAAATGAATTAAATTTTAGGATGGGGATCCCTCATGGTCTTATTTGAGGCTCCATGGCATCTGAAAGCTTGATCCACTCTAGTTTAATAGATATTTTGTTGGGAATTCAGTTGTCTTAAAAATCACTACATGCAGCTTGTGGTGAAAGTTTCTTTGTTCGGTTTGGCTGTAAGCTTAGTGGGCAGCATAATGGAAAGTCTGAGTGCCATGTTTTAGTGGCTGCAGAGGGAACAGACTCGGAGGGTGTAGTGAGTTCAAAAAATTAGGTCATCAGCACTCTGAAAATTACTTGCATAAACACACAATATCCCTTTTCATTTGTCATACGAAGATCAAAACATACAGAATGTGTGTAATTTGTCTACATCAATACATGCGTGCACTCTTTTTACCTTTAGATAATGGGAACAACTGAATACAAAAAACGAGTTTGCGTATGAAGGTGTACGAAGGCCACTGACGTAAACAATTTTGAGGCCTCGTTTACTTCAGACTGCGGCTGCCTCCGGTTGCTAAGTAGCAGCTCGGTAGTGGTGGGGGAGCAGGAAGTGAGACGAGAGATACTGAAACGATAAACAGGAGACAGGAAGTGTGTTTTTGGGGTGGATCTCTTCGAAAAGTTTTTCTTCAACACACAGGTTTTTGCACAAACGAATAATTGCTTTTATCATGAGTGTGCAAGGTAAGGCTTACAGGGTTTCAGGCATTTTGCGACTTTTTAAGACACGACAGGCAGCATGGAGCTTTTGTAAAAAGTTACAGAGAAGCACTAAAACACATACAAAAGGATCACACACACAACGGCAGACTCATTGTGGTGAAACACAACTAACTTGCACAACTTGCAAGGCTCTCCGGGTCTATCTCTTGGTTTCTAGTCATATAAGAATAAAATAATTGTTTAGACTTTAATTTAACTACTTAGATATGATTCAAGTTTTCTTTGGTCATATGATGATATAATATTGATTAGGGCTGGCAATATTGCAAAAAAGATGAACACAATATCATCTCTCATATCATTCGATATCGATAATTATTAAATATTTTTAACAATATAATTTATTTGTTATTTAACCACTTTATTTAATTTTACATCACTAAGGCAAACAGTTTTTATAGTCAAAAACAAAAATATTAAAACAATAAATCTGATCTTTTCATAATAAAATAAACATAAGTGTTCGAGAGACTTTTAAACTTGACAAATAAAATGTTATAAAGTGTGTGCAATGGTAAAGGTATGTAGATCAACATGTGTAAGGTGTGATTAATAATGATACAGTAAACCTCAAACTCTGTAAACAAAACAAGTTATGCTAATCAAGTCTGAGCTTTCAAGTAAAGGAACCGACCATCATTATTCAAATACATACTGCAACATTACAAATTGTGAATTTAAATGACTATATTACCCCCTATGCTTAAAACCCTTTCAAATCGGCTGCTAGTGGCTGGGATGCACAAAAAAAGAAACCAAAAAGCCACAGTGGCGACATCCTTACATGCTTTTTTTAACAATCTCTTCACTGCTGCTATACTGCACTCATTTTTGCATGTGTTGTTATTCTAACCTAAAGTGACAAGGGTGAACGTGTGGATTTCTTGACCGTTTTCAATGGGCTTTGCTCTTGCGCTCCCCTGGCGTCTCTAGTAACTAAGCGACCATCAGCCATTTTCTCAGAGGATGACAAAAGGACAATCATTGCTGCAGTTCCGAAAAAGTAAAAAAAGTAAAAAGCACTGCAGTGTTTGGATGCGCTGTGTTTGTCTGAGGTAATTAGTCGGCCGTTATTACTGTAATGTGTATATTTCATACAATGCATGAAGCAGATTGGTTAGTTCTATTTACATGAATCGCGGTGCGCTGGCGGCATTCGGAAAAGTTCAGATGTTATTCAACTAGGTGCAACTGGAAAATGCCATTGGATTCGATAAACTTACACCCTAAGCTTATTGGCAATCATTCTAAGGTGCGCACTCAGCAGCCACATTTCAAAAAATCGCCTTCATATTGAAACCTCATACCAAACTTTTTTTTAGGATTATTGACAATGGTGTTTGATCAATAAATACCGATACCAATTTTATCGCCCAGCCCTAATATCGATATTTTCTGGACAGTGGAAAATATTGTAATAATTAGTGCCCTCCCACTTTTTAAGCATTCGTTTTTCTTTTTTATTGTTATAAGCCATGAAAAAAATTGGACAAACAGACAAAGGAAATAAGCCTTTACTTAAAAGTCCCATTAAAGTAAAGCAGAGTTTTTTAGATGTTAGTGTCAGTATTATTTGTTTTTAGGATATCTATAAGCTAATGTGCTCCAAAACAATGACAAAAATCGCATTTAGAAGATATAAACTGATATAAAAATGTAAAGCTTGTAGTTTGTCACTAAATGGGTGAACAGTTTTTTTCACGTCACCTCACACTACAGTTTTTCATCACATCATAACTAATCAGATGCCCTCTAGTATCTGACATGCCCTGCCTCCTTCAAGATGCTTCACATTTGCTTCTCAGTTTGAGTTCAACCACTCTCACTGGCAGAGCGGTGATGAAACAAAACACTATTGGCTGTTTTTTTAAAAAGGGGCTACTCTATGTCCCACCCTCTATTAATGTTTTGATTGAAATATGCATTTTTATTTGATATTTGACATAATTTCAAAGTACTTCATGGGACCTTTAACAGCTTTAAAAAATGAAAGTTATTGGTTGTATCTATAGAAACAATGTATTTCAAGTTTACTATAAAATATGCATAGATACTATACAAATACCTTTCTAGATAATTTGTGGGGCTTTTTGGTTGTGGGTGGGGCTTAAAGA